CCCCAGGCATCTACAGCTCACACTCCAAAATGGAAACCCAGCCAACTGTTGCCCACACTCTTGCCCCCACTCCACCCCACAAGATATCCCAGCAGCACATTTGGGAGTCGCGTAAGACTCCTCAGCAAATGCAGAAGGAAATGGCAGATAAAATTAAATTTCCTTATAACCTGCGGCCCATTGACAGTTGAGGCCGGCAGAGTTCTCCAGGAACTCCCTGCGGTCTTAAAGATGTTAACACTTTGCTGGAGGGAAAAACAACCCTAGCTTGACCATAGCTAGGCCTCCAGGCTCCGGTGCGCCTTTTTGCCCTGAAGATGTCTCAGGAAATCTTTCTTGGCCGTCAGCTCCGGACCCCACCACCGCTCCAAAATCCCATCAGCTGTACCGACTGCTTCAGGACTGAGTCTGGCTGATGACCCTCAGTGTCCCCAGAGCCTGGCCCCGTGGATCTCAGTGGCCTCCTCGGCAACCTCCAGCCTCAACCCTACGAAGCCACCCTCCCCTGAACTGGAGAAGCACTGGATGAGGCATCTGTGCATAGCACCTCAAGATCTCACAGCCCTTTGAAAAGCTAAATCTTTAAACCCATTTTACAGACGGAACTGGAGCTCACAGCGGTTATGAATGTGTTCTAAGTCACAGGGTTTGAAGCCACTGGCTAGGCTTACAAGGCCTTCCATGAATCGAGGGGCCCCTGCTTTCCTTTTTGGCTTGTGTTCTCAGCCTCCTCCTCCCTCTTGCATAGGGCGCAGCCGGAAGGGATCCTCTGCCTTCCTCTAGCCTCAGAAAACCCCATCCTAGCTCCTCTTGCCTCTGATTCATCCGGGGAGGGGGGGCCTCTGCCCAGATCTCCCCTGCTGTGGGAAAGCCCCGAATCCCTGCCCCCCACTGGCATTCAGGCTCCTCCTCCAATACTTCCACTGCACCTGAGCCCACCTCCCTTGGGTCGAGGACAGAAGAGGCCACTAGCTGTCCTGTTCACGATGGTGCCTCCAGCACCGACCACCGAGCCTGGTGCACAGTCAAAATGGGGCCCCACAGCCAAAAATGGATGAGTCATGTCATCTACAGGAAATCTGCATATGGCTCTCCCTTGAGCACAATTCCATAGGATAAGGCTTAGTGGGCTCAGCCCGCCCCTTCCCAGGACAGGCTCCCTTCAGCCCTTTGCTCCAGTAAGGCCGTAGGAATGACAAGGTGCTTACAGCTTCTGAGAAGTTCTCCGTGCAGCTTCCCCAAGGCTCTCGCAGGTATTGTCCGGAATTTGTTTTCAGGCTGCTGTCCTTCACATGCATGCTCCAAGTACACCCCCTCCCCCCACTGTAGCAACTATTTTATGTCTTTATTTTCACAGCACAAAGCTTGGAGATGTTATTGGTTTAATAAGTATTTGAATAAAGAATAGAGTCCGTAACTTCTTTAACTTTGTAAACTTCCAGGTCCATTAGCACACAGCAGATGCTAAATATATACCAGCAGTATAAACTAACCTCTAATAGTTAACACACACACACACACACACACACACACGTAGTAGCATTATTTAAAAAACAAAAACCAAAAAACAGAATTGGGGCACCTGGGTGGCTCTGTCCTTTGAGAATCTGACTTCAGCTCAGGTCATGATATCACAGTTCGTGAGTTCGAACCCTGCCTCTGGCTCTGCCCTTAGCCCAGAGCCGGCTTCAGATTCTCTGTCCCTTTCTCTGCTCCCTCCACCCCACTCACACTCGCCCTCTCTCACAAATAAACAAACGTTAAAAAAAAAAAAACTAAAAAAAAAAAAAAAACAAACAACCAGAATTTATACTTTTCATTTGAATAGGCTTAAGATCTTGTCCTATGGCAAGCACATCCTTTGAAGGCATGTTTGATTTTCTTTTCAAGTTATTCAAGTTAACAACAAGGAGTAACAATTTGGCTTTTTGAGGAACCGGGGCAAAAACAACCAAATGATACACAGTACACAAAAGCATAAGCATAGGAGTGCCTGGGTGGCTCAGTCGGTTGAGCATCCAACTTCGCTCAGGTCATGATCTCGCAGTTCTTGAGTTCCAGCCCCGCGTCGGGCTCTGTGCCGACAGCTCAGAGCCTGGAGCCTGCTTCGGATTCTGTGTCTCCCTCTCTCTCTGCCCCTTCCCCGCTCATGCTCTGTCTCTCAAAAATGAATAAACGTAAAAAAAAAAAAAAAAAAAAAAAAAAAAAAAAAAAAAAAAAAAAGTACTTAAACAGATAGTAAATAGATTCCCCAGGCAATTTACTCCCCTTTAAAAAACTAAATCGTAAATCCAATTCAGATCTCGAGGTCAGAGCTGAAAGGAGATGTAGAACCCCAGTGGTGGCCTTTTTTAAGGATTAAAAAAGAAACAAAACACCTCTGACCCCGCCCGCCAGAGCTGGTAGACGAAACCACAACCTCAGGGTGAGGGCGGACAGCGCCCCCGCCCCTCCCAGCGCTAAACCACGCGGCTTCCCGCCTGCACACCCCGCGAGCGGTAACTCCGGCGGCCCCGCCTCCGTCTCCACCAATGGAGGCCCGGCGGCACGACCACTGCAGCCAATCCAGACGCAGGGGGCGTGGCCCCGCGGCCAGGCCTGCCGCTCTAGTTCCCCGCCGGCCGGGAAGCGGAGACCCAGACCGTGATCTCCCGCCCGAGCCGCGGGCGCAGTGGACCCACGTCGCTCCAGCATCCACCTCTTCTCAGGCTTGTTGCTACCAGCGGTCTTTGCGACGGTCCAAATACCTGCCCGAGCGCCCTCCCCACCACGGTCACTCTGGGAATCGAACTCAAAAGCAACGTCCGGTAGCGCTCTCACGTCGTTCAGTGTCGCGCGGGCACGCTCGCCGACACCCTCAAGACCCCGGCAATTCCTTGCCCACTCTACCCAGACATCAAACATCAGCGAGACCTTCGCCAGCCGGTCCTAAGGAGGGCTGCAACTGCTCTCCTCCCTCGCCCCACCCTTTTCAGTTCCCTTAGTCAATCCATCCCTCCTGCGCCACGTCCCCAACCTGTTCTGCGCGCATCTGGAGAGCGGAAAAGGCTCCCAGAGGGCCGCTGACCCTTGGCAACCTCCAGAATATCCCCCCCCTCCCCGCCACGAGCCAGCGGTCCCGGAGCGGCCAACCCCTGCCTCCACTCCCCGCAGTTTACCATAAGCGTCTCCACCCTGTCTCCGACATCTTGAGGCTGCAGCAGCGCCGGGCGTGACTTCTGAATCATTGGAGACGAGGCCGGCAAGTGCGCCGGGCTCAGTGTGCCGTCAGTGGGAGCTCGGGCCAGCGCTGGCGACCCCGGGGGGCGAGAGTGACGCGGCCGCAGTGGTAGGGCGCCACGCGGTCAGGCGGCGGCTCTGCCGTCCGCGCCCGTCGGGGGCCGGGCCCGCGCTCCCACCGCCCCTGCGTGGCTAGGCAGGCCGCCCCGGGAACTTCTCGCCGCTCTTCACTCGCTCCGCAGAGGCCGTGGCTCTGCTCTCCCGCCCATCCCGCCCTGTAACACGCTTCTGGACCCCAGAACAGGCAGGATGCACCGGGACGGGGGTGGAGAAAGCCGGAGGAACTGCACGGAACCGTGGGATTTCGCTTCCGGGGTTGGACGCCGCGGGTCTGGAGCGGGTGAACGGGTTCGCTTTAGTGCCACCTAGCGGAGACGTCCAGAACTGCAGGGCCCGCGGTTTCCCTGAGCTTGAAGGCGCGTCTGCGCGGAGGCCTCCCTCCAGCTGCAAGATTTGAGCTGAGCTCGTTTGCAGTAGAGACTTGCCCTGCCCCATAAGGTAGCCTGTAGCCTTCCGTGCCTATTGAACTTCAAGTGTGGTTCGTGTGCTTGTGGACCAGCATTTTACATTGTATTTAATTTTAGTTAATTTGTATTAAAAAACGGAAGCAGTGTGGAATAACTTTCCGTTAAACACTTTATTGTCTTGGCAGACGCGCGTTTCCTCTTGAACGCTGGGAATGTAGCCTAGGAATTGACCAGTGTTGTTAAGAAATCCGTGCACCACATTTCAAGACTTACAGCAATATGGTAAAATAACTTATTAATAATCGTTATATTATTACGTTATAATAATTATATTATTATTATATTAACCTGATATTTTGGATATATCAGGTTAGGCATATTATTAAAATTAATTTTGCATGCTGCTTCCTCCATTTTTTTTTTTAACATTTATTCATTTTTTGATAGAGACAGAGTGTGAGCAGGGGAGAGACAGAGAGAGAGGGAGACACAGAATCTGAGGCAGGTTCCAGGCTCTGAGCTGTCAGTACAGAGCCCGTCACGGGGCTAGAACTCATAGACTGTGAGATCATGACCTGAGCGAAGTCGGACACCCAACCGACTGAGCCGCCCAGGCTCCCCAACTTTTTCTGTTTTTTAATATGGCTACTAGAATTTAAAATTACACGTGTAGCTCACACTACATTTCTTTTGGACCACGCTGGTCTGGATGTTTCAGATCATGGTTTATCTCTCATCTGGACTGTGGGAATAACCTTTATGGTCTCCCACCTTCCCATCATTCCTTGTCTGGGAGAGACATGGGAAAGTATTGCTACTGGGATCCTGACACTCCTGTTGAAAAAAGCAGGCACGCAACTTCAATGTACCTGGTTACCTGCAGAATAACTTTTCATGACAATTTTTGCTACTTTCTAGCATTCATTCTCCACTGGGGGGAAATGTAGGTCAGGAAAGATACTTATAATTTAGGGAGCAAGATGCTGTTATTTTAAGGCTTCATTTCTGTGTTATTAAGGCACAAGGAACAGCAAGAAAGTAGTTCTTTATCTCCAGAAGGGATTAAGCAAAGCATAAACATTAAAAAATTAAAGGGGCGCCTGGGTGGCGCAGTCGGTTAAGCGTCCGACTTCAGCCAGGTCACGATCTCGCAGTCCGTGAGTTCGAGCCCCGCGTCAGGCTCTGGGCTGATGGCTCAGAGCCTGGAGCCTGTTTCTGATTCTGTGTCTCCCTCTCTCTCTGCCCCTCCCCCGTTCATGCTCTGTCTCTCTCTGTCCCAAAAATAAATAAACGTTGAAAAAAAAATTAAAAAAAAAAAATTACATATACAGGGGCACCTGGCTGGCTCAGTCTGACTTCGGCTCAGGTCATGATCTCACAGCTCATGAATTCGAGCCGCATTGCTCTGTGCTGACAGCTCAGAGCCTGGAGCCTGCTTCCAATTCTGTATCTCCCTCTCTCTCTGCCCCTCTGCCACTCATACCCTCTCTCTCAAAAAACGAATAAGTGTTTTAAAAAACGTAGAAATACATATACAAATCTGGCTGGTGATTGTTAAAAACTTTCCTATCCCTCGTTCTAAGGGCAAGGCTCATTTTCTTTGTGCAGTGTCAATATCTAAGCTAAAACTTTTATTTTTAAGTAGAAACTTAAAAAAATTTTTTTTAATGTTTATTTATTTTTGAGAGAGAGACAGAGCCAGAGCATGAGCAGGGGAGGGGCAGAGAGAAGGAGGCACAGAATCTAAAGCAGGTTCCAGGCTCTGAGCTGTCGGCACAGAGCCCAACGCGGGGCTTGAACCCAGGAACCGTGAGATCATGACCTGAGATCATGACCTGTGAGATCATCATGAAGTCAGACTCCTCACCGACCGAGCCACCCAG